CCCCCCCCCCCCTCTCTCAAAAGCCTTCGAAAGAGACAGAGAAAGAGTTTTGAGTCTCATTTAAAGTCGAAATAATGTTAGAGCAACTGGGCCTTAAAAAGACCATATATTAATTTTATACCTAATATTCGTAACAATCCTATTTTTCCTTAATACGTGGTAAATTTGATCTTCAAGAGAGTGCTCTAGTTTTTTAATATTAGTCTCATTGTCTAGATTCTGAAATACCGCAGGGCAGGTTTCGAAATAAAATAACACCCGCGGTGAACAGGGTCTGGCGTTCGAGATCCAATCCTTGGGTAGACTATGAATGCAGCTTAACACATCAGAAAGTTGGGGAGAAATCTTTTGCCTGTTACAAATACATTGTAATCATTATTTCATTGAAAGAAAAATTAATTTCTAAATTTTATTTGTCTATATATTTTCTTAATATAAATCAAATATTTAATTTGATCGAAAACAAGTCTGATGCTAACCTGACTATGTCCATAGCACGAAATAAATGCACATAACTGTAGTCAAAGGTGTGTGTCGGATGAGTAAGTACCATTATATGAGATATATGAAATAACACTAAGAGCGCTCTTGCATATTTATCTTTCATATGTGCCCAAACACTGAGGAAGTCCTTGCAGTCTTGCTTCTCCGTAAACTTATCATATTCGGCCAGAAGTGTATGAGCATCCAGGAATCCTCTTAAATGCAGGCAAACTGTCTTCTCTTTAGGATTATAATATCCCTCAATTTCGCACTGATAAAGGAAACATAAGTTAGGATATTATTTATTGGAAAGTCGTGAAGAGTTAAAGAAGATATCTCACCCCAGACTGCTGATCTATCTTTGGTTCATCCAGGAGGTTCAACTGGAGTATAGAACTCAGCATATCTGTCTTGCATCCTTTCGCTCGATACTGAGATTTACCGAACACCGAGACAATCACCACCTTTTTGTCGGTCTGCGAAAAACTAAAAAAATAAGGAGATCAAAAGAGAACACCTCTTTCTCTCCTTCAGGTAAATTTTATAAGATTAATGATATCTGATATTGTGTAAAATTTCGATCTTGGAATCGCTTCAAAGAAATGTTTTTGCTCTTTACACGTAATTTTGTACCTGTCCACATCACATGGGAGCTTGAATTTATGCGGACGCATTGTAAGTTGTAAGCTTGTTTACATTTAGAACAGAATCACAAACAGGTTAGGTTTCACATTACGCATGATACTGGACAGTGGATGGAGTAGTGAACTGCGGACCATGTGTTGCGGACAACTGTGGTCACTGTGGAATCAGTGAATGGACACCCAACTTTCTTTCAGAAGAGTAGTAGGAAGGGAAAACCTTTCCTCGCAGACTCAACTGTTGTACAACTGTTGAATAAAAGTTAGTGTTCCTATAAAAGTAATAAAAGCAATAAAAGTAACTAATAAAAGTCTGCTGAACGCGCTCCGCAATGCTACTTGCTTCAGAATTCAAATATGGAAAAATAAAAAATTATATACATAATATATTATTACATATTTAAACTTATGTATGTGTATTATACAATATATTTTATTCAGTTGAACTATCTTACCTTTGATTTTAATAAAAAGGCTCATTCGACGCGTTTTTTAACATGTAAATTTTACATCGTCACATTGCGTGATTATGCAATAATTCTAATATTATTATAAAGATATTTTAAAGATAAATAATAGCTCGTTGTAAAAAGGACGAATTTTTAATTATTGACGAAACGAACACAACTGTTTCTAATCCCTAACGTTTTTTAGTTAATTTTCTATTTTCTAAAAACATATTTGCATATATAGATTTGAATCTCGCGGGATTTCTCATCGTGTTGTCACGTGACTGATTTCACTTATGGATCTGGAAGCAGATGGCGTCACATGGCGTCGAATTAAATATCCCCTCCCCTGTCTTTCCCTGGAGCCTGGAGCATCGTAGGTTATGTTATTGTCAAGAAGCGCATGAGAGATTTAACAACAGTATACTGCAATTAATAATTTATGTTCGCGATATGTCATCAACGGTAGGATGCCGAATTCTCGCAAAATTAGGCAGGAGCAGATTGAGTGGCTTGCCATCGCGGATTATCGGCGCAGGAAGGTTTAACAGCACCGCGGAAAATGCGGAATTTTCGAAGGATATCGTTCCGGCTCCACAGCCGGGAAAAATTCAAGCTGCACTGTTAAAAGACTTCTCTAGTCCTCTCATAATAGAGAATCTGGAGCCGCCTAAAAGAGCGCAGGAGAATGAAGTAGGCTGCTGCAATTAAACGTTATTTATATAATTATATCTCATAATATCTATGTAATTCTATATAATATTATATATACATTTATATAATTTTAATGTCTTATATTTAAATATCAATAATATCGAAAATGTATATCTATATAATTGTACTTTATTTTTTCTTCTATTTTTCAATATTTTATAGTTAAAATGTCAAAAATATCAAGATTGTATATTGATGATGACTATATGATTAATTTTCCCAGGTTCTCATTGATGTTCACTATTGTGCTTTGAGTGCTTCTGATTTGCTTCTCAGTCAGAATTTACATACATTTGAACCAAAATTACCAATGATTCTCGGTTACGAAGTTGTCGGAAAGCTAATCGAAGTTGGCACAGAGGCAGAAAAGAATGGCTACAAGATTGGTGATAAAGTCATTGCTCTTAATAAGGAACGATATGGAGGCTTGGCTGAAAAGTGTTTGGCAGAAGTTGGGGTAGAACATGTTTGGAACTTGAATTCTTTGAAACATTTAATAATAGCATTCTAAGAATCTTTTTCATGTATTATAATAATAGAATTTAATAATAGAATTCTAAAATTTTTTTTCTTACATAGGATATATGGAAGGTACCTTCTACGAAATCAGCTAGCTCTGCAGATTTAGCGAGTATCTTAGATAGTTATATCACCGCTCTAGTTGCATTAGAAAGAAAAGTCAGTCTCAACGAGGATGATATGATTCTAATAAACGTCGGCGTAAGTGGTATTGGTCTGGCAGCAGTGGATCTTGCAACAAACGTTTTTAAGGCAAAGGTGTGTGTATTTTTTAAATATAATTTTCTTTTTATTTACATTATAATTATTTTTTTCTAAAATATTAATAAGTAAAGAATGAAAATTGAATAGAATACAGGAGATTTTTGCAAGTATAATATAATTTCTAAATTGTAAAGGTCATTGGAGTTTGCGCTACAGAAGACTGTGCCGATCGAGCACGGGAGATGGGAGCATTCACGGCTCTCAAATATAAAGATAAAAAGCTAATGAAGCAGATAAAAGAAATCGCAGCCGAACGAGACATTAAAACCATTTTCGAGGATGAAGATGGAGCGCATTTCAAGAAACTGTTGAGTTGGTGAGTTTTAATAGATCTATTGTTGTATAAGTAGAGTTTTAATGGATTTAGACAAAACTGTATGGATCTCGGTCAAGTAAGATACAGAAGTACATCAGTAGAATATATTTTTAGCTTTACTGATATCTACAAAGTCGCAACGTTAAAGGATATGTTGCGCAATGACAGTTTCGCCGTGGTGGTGCATCACTTGTCTCGCGAAGGTATATTTCTATTTTGAAGTACTCATAACTTAATATTGGATGGTGCATTCACTTATAGCCTCTGTCATGAAGGGCGCGTGATCATAGCTGGCACGGCGACGACCATGGCGGACGTTTCGGATGTGCAGAAAGGTTCCTTCAGCGTCACTGGCTTTAATCTCATGGAATATAAAAAGAAGAAGCCTGACGTATATCGGTAGGCTATGTACATTTGTAGTTTCTTTCGTTGCCCATTGATAAACATTTATTTAATTCATTTATTTTAAAATTAGCCAAGCAGGAGATGACGTTCTGCAGTTCCTTGAAGAAGGGCTCATTGCACCATCTTACTCGTTAATCGCCGGTATGCACAAAGTCAATGATGTTTTGGGGTCCATTTCTGAAAATATGTTTCCAGGAAAAGTAAGTAATAAATAAGATTCAAATATTTTATACATTTCCCGTATTAAGTATATTTTGAACAAATGTTTGCTTATCTATAACTGTGTATTTATGAAAATTCGCAGGTCATCATTGACATGAGAGATAAGGAAGCTGCGATAACAAAAATGGTTACGTGATCAGATTTGTATGAATTCTTAATGAGCATTTCATATATAAGTGTTCTTCTCACTTTATCTTAAAGTTGAGAAAAGCACACTGGCAGTGCATGCAGTGATATTTAAATATTTTGTATTTATAGCTATAAGCAAGATGAATATTATATAAGTAGAATGTATTAATATAGCGTTAAGACCATTAATAAAACTTTCTTTTTTAAATTCTATATTACTTCAAAATTGAATATAGATGCAGTTATAGCGTGTCCTGAGTACCGTTCTAAGTTGCAATTAACTGCAGTCGTTAGAACTTCTTATGTCTCTTTACCAGCACGACTTGTGCGGTGTTACGATATTTTTTCTAGTGTCCTTAGCATTGCCAAAGAAAGATTTACAGCCATCTGATTAGACACGGTTTATGCAAAATGATTGACAGCGATTGCTTCCATTAAGTGAGCCATTTTAGTGACTCACGAGCCTTATTGGTCATACCAGAGATATTACGTTGACACTTAAGTTACTTAACAATTTTTATGCGCAGCAACGTGCGTGGCTTCCTGTCGGCGCATTTAAACAGAAACCGTTTTGTTGATGGTTAAGAGGCATCAAGAATCGAGAGTTAATTACGCATCAAAGTTAATTTACATCAAGAACTAGTCAGTCTTCGCGTCGCAGGATATATATTTATTTATGATGTTTTTATGATATTAATCTTGACATAACAATTAGCAGTCTCTACGTTAACATCGTTTTTTTTTGTATATGTATATTAATGAAACTGAGATTATTTTGAGTGAAATATCAGAACATTTTTAAATGAGAATATTTTTGTAGTTTGCAAGTAGTGTAAAAAAAACGGAGTCGCGATCGGCATTTTCTGGAATCTATCAGCAGCTAATTCATCCTCTTGTTATCCGCGGAAGATTCTCTTGAATGCCAGGCGTGGACGTGACCGAAAGTGCCGATTAGCCCGGTGACTCAGGAATACGATGACATACAGCGTGGGCGTCCTAGATTGTGCGGACTGGACGCAAGCAGACGCCAGTACCTCCCTGGGATAGAAGGTATGCCGCAAAAATTACGTTGTCCTTCTCCCGGACGTCCTACGTTGCGTGAAGGGTACTCGATCAAAACCTGTCACGGGGAGTCACTAAGGAATGTGATACCGCTGACAATCGTGATTGCTTGTTATATTTAGGTTTACCAAAACTCGTTCAAAAACTTGACTTATGGACTAATGGATTATCGTACAAATTATTATCATATATTAATAATAATGATATTTTTATTCTATTAATATATTGAAAAAAAATTAAATTTTAAATTTGTTTGAATAGTACTGGCTTAATATTTATTTATTTTAGTAAATAAAACAATGATAATTCAATTAATGATTCTTGTACCAAAAACGAATGTTTACATTTAACCAATCCTACTATATTCAAATAAATATTTATTATAGTACATTTTTTCCTTAGTATATTAATATTATGATACATATTAATATTACATTTGCATTACCGATCGCATACAAACTCACGCAGTCGTAGATTTAACGTCGTAGAAATTAATGTCAAAATTAGTTACATCAGAGTTTATTTCGTTAATAGTGCAACATATTGAATAAGTAAAGTTTGATTACATTTACGTGTTGAACATGTTGCATAATTAAACTTTGATTACATTTAATTAGCCAAGAAGTTATTTTTTAACAATTTTCGTCTCACAATTTTGTTTAATTTCTTGTGAAAGATCTCATGGCCTTTTATTTTGTGATTCTGGCTATTAATTTTAGTGTCGAGATGTATTCTACAAACTGCGTCGCAAATTCACTTATCCCGAGGCGCGAACAGTTGGCGCGTCCCAAATATTGTTAACGCTGTTCGCGCCGACCGACACGGCGGTGGAGGCCAATTAGAGCGGTTTTATGTCGTTAATCATAACGTGGCTCGAGTTCAAGGTGGCCCCCGCCTGATTAATCGTAGGCGTGGTGTGCACGATTTCCAAATCCAATTGTCCAGCCCGTCTCTGGTCCGTATCGCGAGCGTACAGGCTCTTTATGTAAATGCACTCTCTCTCCCCCTGAACCTTGAAGTAAATCGTCGTCGCCGCCGTCGTCGCGAAATCAAGGAAAATTCATACTGCTTGTATGTCAGTCCGTCTCGCATAACTCCAAGTTTGGAACATATTTTTATACGTATTTATATACTGCAATCCTATTTCTTTCACGATATTTTTTTACAATAGATTTAGTCCAAATCGACCTTTCCTGGCGAGAGGCTTTAATTATTTGAAAGATCTTAATTACTTAATTAAAAATAAATATTTTCTGACGAAGCGAACAAAAAGAAAGATAAATGACGAAGGCAGATTTTACCACTGGATTTTAATAAAAATTTAATTTAAAATTTAGTTCTCTCCTCTTGTTTTATAAAAATGTATAATATTATAAATTAAAAAATATTGTGATAAATAATAATGGTTCTTAATATTTTCGCTACGAAAAGAAGTTATTTTGTATTGCACGATACATTTTGTTATACATGCGTATTTAAAATTTCCTTTCTTAGATCGACTCGAACTGAAATAGCTGAGAAACGGCCTTGTGCTAATTAATGTAAGGGGAATCTGGTGCAATAGGACAGTTTAATGAGATATCGCAATAAAATGTCTTTTGTCGATTTTCACCTAAAGGCTAATGCTTAGGCAATTACGTATATCTGTCATCGTATCCCAGGCAGACGACCATTTCGTTTGTAGTAATATACGATTAAGATAATATCAAGGCGTTATGGTCACGGAACTTGCCAGATGTCGTAGATTCGCAGACAACGAATGGAACCTGTAGAAAAATTGCATGCGACTAATTAGCGAGCGAAATTACATGGATTTTGCGATTCGCTCGTTTAAGACTAACATCGCGCGATACTTATCATCTTCTTTAATGTCCTTCCGCTAATGATCGTACACAGATATTACATCTGACATGCGCAAGCGTAAATAGTAAATTCATGTTCCGCGAAAATTGCAGATGTAATAAATGAGTGACACGTTTATTAAAATCTAAAGAGACAGATATCCGATTTCTCTTCCTTCGCAAGATAGAAAAATTTTTTATAAACAATTTATCGCGATAGAAGACATCAAGAGAAAGAAGATACCGCCTTTACTTCTTTGTCATTCGAGATAATTGAAATCGCCGGTTCTGATCAGGATCTTTGATCCTGCGTGAAACTCGAGATCCTTCGCGTTGCAATCTTTGACGCTATGTTTACAACGTAATTGAATTCCGCAAACTTTTCGAAGCGTTAAATCGCGAGTTTCTATATTTCTGGATAGCAAGTAAAAAATGTGTTATGTCACTTCTGTAACTTTAGAAATTTACACATGACGTACGTCGCAAAATCACATAAACGCGTCGGATGTAGATTTTCCAAAATAGAAAATACGTAAATACGTTATTTCTACATATCACGGATACATTCCATTTTACGCACGATATGTTATTTAATATTTTATATATATATTTTACGCGATTTTATATCAATAAGATTAACTTGCTATATTATACTTATATTGTATAGCAATTATAAAATGAAATGTTCCATAATATACGTGCAAGAAAAAATTAATAGAATAATGAATTCTGTGCAGCGTATATTCTTAATGTAAAAGTGAAATTTTATTTTACTAATATATTCTCATAAGAATCTCTAAAATAATTAATCTGGTACTAATCTATTCTTCAGAAGAATTCCTCCTGAAGTTAAGAAAGTCCTTTTGACTGACATCTATTTTTGAGAAGAGATTATTGTAAAAATAAGTAGGAAAAATATTGAGCTGAGAAAACAATTTTTTCGGTTTTATATTTTTGTTTAACATTTGGTGAACAACGAGGTTAAAATGATATATCATGTTATGTGTAAATGGAACATACGCTATATCTCTAAGTAAAAAATTCTTTGCAAAGCACTGCTGTTAGCTAGACCATGAATAGCTCAGAGACTGTCCATTACGCAGCGTTAATCCCTCCGTTGGAAAATTTTTTTACATGTAGCTCATATAATTAAGGAACATAACGAACTGAAACTCATGACGTACGTAAAACAGCATTCTGCAAATTTTTTTCTCATGAATTTTGCTTGCAAAACAAAAGCAGTATAAAACATTCTTTAAAAAATAATAAAAATTAGCACAGCTTATACACTAATTATTATTCCTTGCATTGCATCTAAAACGTCGTTGTTTTCCCGAAGTAAAGCTGAATTTATGAACCATTGTAAAAATCGCGGTACAGCCATCGGATTAGTCAGTTTAATCGCGACTGCGAAGCAAACGATCATTAGTCGAACTTGTTTCATGTCGGCGAAAAATAATCACGGAAAGAACAATTTTCTAAAGTATCTAAAAATTAGCTGAATTATACAGATTTGAACATAATTTTGTTGGACCATCAAAATAATTATGTAGGAATCTCAAACATGATGAAGAATGTTATGAAATAAGCTTTGACAATCTAGCAACTAATTTGAGCGTTCTATAATTATTTAGATGGACAAAATTATTTTATATCACTAAAGGTAATTAAATATTAAATATTAAAGATCGAAGGTTTGATTTCATTTATTGACTCTGTTTGTATTACAAAAGACATCCAATACAGCTCGATTAGCTCATATTTCGTATTATTTTAACAAAATTATTTTTAGATCTGTATCTAGCTAAATTTTTAGATACTTCAGCAAAATCTTCCTTACCATGCATTAAATTTTCATAAAAGACTCTGTTGTGAAAATTCCTCCCGTGAAAATTCCCAGGCGTCATTCGCGGATTTGAACTTTCTTGATGCATATCTATAAGGAAAGTCCATCGACTTTCCTCGGATTTGCTCGTAAAACAATTTTACAATATTTTACACTTTCAACGATAGACAGCAATTACGTTCTTACGTAACGGCGTAACGTATCGCGAGTTGGTTGCTCAACGTTGTGATCCACGTTAGAGCGCCGTAGATCATCGCGAACCCGGAGCATGGAAGGATCCGTAAACGCCAACGAATGTATTTCGCAAGTTCCTGGGAAGAATGATGATCATGCTCGTAAATGCATTTTCCGGT